AAAAAATGGATAAAAAGAAAAAAGGAGAAAGAAATGAGAATGATATTTCAAATGCCCAAGTCAGGCCTACAACCATGTCCATAGCCCATTTGATTCATGACCCAAAACTTGACCCATTTTACACATCCAAGCAAATACCAAGATGGAAACCCTAAAAACGGGAGGTCTGGGGCATTTTGGAGGGGGACAGCAGCGGCCGAAAGAGGGGGGCACAAAAAGAAAAAAAATCTCTTGATCCTTCTCCCCTTGTAATTCTCTTCACGGCCACCAATACCATTGTGAACGGCAGCTCCATCTCCAGGATCAGGACAGCAGCACATCATCTCCTCCAATCACCTCGTCCGAGGCACATCAAAGGCAGTGGGACAGTAACTGTAGCCCCTGGGTCTCTCCTTTCTTCTCTCAATCGCTGGCCTCCTCGGTGTCCTGTCATCTCTGCTACTCCAGTCTCCATTTCCGGCAAGGTTGCTTTTCAGTCCGGTTCCCTCTCCTTCTAGGTATACCCGCAAAGAGAGGGATTTTTGGGAAAGGTAACCCTAAATTGCCTTTAGTTTCTGTCTAGATTTTGATTACGAATGATCATGATTAATTAATTTAAATTGTCTGTTTTTCTTAATTAATGTTAAAAAAATTTTAAAAAAAAAAGAAAAGATAAAATTGTCTTTTGTTAAATTTTAATTTCACCCAAATTTTTTGTGATTAAGCAACTTGGTCCATAAGTTTTAAATAATTTGAAATTCACCATCTAGATTTCAAATTTAATTAAATCAGCCCCCTCAACTTTTAATTCTATTGCGATTGTGCATGCATATACTTGATTTTGTTCAAATTAAGTCAAGGGTTTCAAGTGTTGCAAATTTGTCCACTTACTTTTAAAGTCCACCTAATCCAAATAAAAAAAATAAATAAATAAAAGTGGAATAAAATTTCCAAATGTTAAAATATATAATGGTGCTTTATACAGAGGATTGCAAGATTGTGTGTATATATTTCCTCATTCATAATGATAGTCTTGAACTTTGATCTCTACGTAAATCATATTTTAGGTGACTTATCCGCCAGTGGTTACTTTTTTCTTTTTTTTATACTTAATTTTTCATTAATTTTCATGTAATTTTTCAAAATTTTAAGTGGTCAACAATAAGAAAGCCTATTTTGAGTCTTAAAGTTTAAAATTTGATCCATTTTTACTTCTTTTGTTATTTTTTTTTTCATTGGACATGTTATTTTAATGGAAATCTCAAAATAGAGTAGTAAAAAAAGGTTTTTTTTTTTTTAGAGGGATAACAAAAGAACTTTCTAAGTAGAGAAACCAAAAAATGACTTTTTTTTAAGTAAATGGACCAAAAGAGGGTTAAAAAGGGCCTTTTTAGTTCATTTATTTTGAAAATTTTGTTATCTAACATGTCATGTATATAAAATATAGTTGAGAGACTAAAAATATGTCATATTTTAAACTTTAAAGATTAAAAAGAGGTTTTTTTAAGTATAGGAACTCAGTAGAGGGATCAAAATGAAGTTGTAACCTAGTTTCCTCCATTAATTCTGTTTGTACAGATTGTATAAGATTTCTGACATATAATAAAATAACCTGATTCTTCTGACATAGAGAGTTTAACATGTTTAATTTTTGTTTGAATGTAATCAAAAGCATTTATCAAAAATAAATATGTAACGTGCCACAAAGATGAATAAGTTACTATTAACTTTTGATAAGCACTTTCAACCACTGAAGCAGCATGAATCTCGGGAGAATATGGAGAAAGATACCTTGTTGCCCAATATGAAGAAGTTTGGAATCATTGTTGAATCAAATAATGTCTTTTACCCTTATTCTTATAAAATGCAACAACTTGAATAAGAATCAAATGATAAGGATTAGGGATTTCACATATTTATTTGATGAGCAACACCATAGTTTTGTGAACGCATTAAATCATAAATATTTTGTGTACCTTTTAAGTTCTAGACTAGGTTTAATATACACCTTGTTGCATGATCAAGTGATGAGATGTATTTCATATACTTTAATTTCTTATTTTAGCCTTGATTTTGTTCTTTGGATGGGAAAAATGTGATTTTTAAATGAATTTTACGTAATTTTCATTCTTGGTAAAAAAAACCTAAATGCTAAAAATAAAGTTTCTGGACTTTAGTGTAAATATTTTGAAAGCTGAGGGATATACTGCATGAGGGAAGTTGCAATCGGGGACTTAATGAAAGAATTCGAAGTTTTTGGATCAAATTGCTCATTATGTAGAAGCTGAAGGACTAAATCTGCTATTTTACTATTAAAGAAGTTGCCGAAAACTCGACACGGGTTTGTGTCGGGTTTGGTGTCGACACTATTTGTTTAGGCTTTGAAAGTGAGCGTGGGGTGAAATAAATAGAAGTGCCGACATCTATGTTGTGACGTACACACTTTAAGCACTTTTAGCAATAAGTGTTTCCATTATTGTTAAAAACCATAAAATTTTACTGCTCAAAAGAGGTAATATTTGTTGTTTGACATACTCAATTCTACAATAAAGAGAAAATCCAAGCAGAAGAATTAATGGACGCAGTTATAATATTTTTGGGCAGCTTTCAGTCTATACTTTTCAATTGAAAATTATTATTATTGTTTTTTGAACGAAGCTAAAATCACATTAATGGAACAAAGTGATATGGAATCTACAAAAGAGAATTCTTATCTCACCGAGAAGAACTTACAATTAGAAGTGAAACATTAAGCACAATTGGAGATACTAACGAAGGTAAGTGAATCACACAAACAATCTTTAAAGAAAACTAATATTTGAATATTTCTTTGGTTGAATTTTCCAATGTTAATAGATATCTTTCAATTTACTCTTGAAACAAATTTACACAATATCCATGATACCGTGGCTTAAAGGTTTATATTAGTTGTGACCAACTCCTAATTTCTTCCATATTGTCTTCTTAGCTACCATAACTAAATTGGACAAACAAAACAAGAAAATAATGTTATAACTCAAATTTACATGCAAAATTTATTTCATCGTCTTAACTTTTATTCGAAACTTATCATAATTTAGTTTTTATCTTATTAACTTGAATTTTCCTCAAAAATCTTGATTTTTTAACTTTAAATAAAAATTTTCAAAATTCTTTGAGCTCAAATGAATATGAGAATTAATCCAAAAGATGTTGTCAAGAAAAATCGAGATTTAATCTAATTAAATGTCATTTTATATAAAATTGGAAAAAATTAAAACCGAGGTTTCATTTTCTAGGGACTTAAATGCGAGTGGAATATGACTATTAGGACTAAAGTGACAGGCGGTGAAAGATATGGACTAAAGCGCATGGCAACATAAAAACGACGTCGTTTCATTGCAAAAAGTGGAAAAAATAAAGCGGGATTCCAACTTTGTCCCTTTTGGATCTACGGTGGTGTGGAAGAAAGAGGAAGATCGGAGCGCTCCGGGCAGATCTAGGGTTTTCATTTGTTTTTATTTGGTTTAATACCCAATTTGGTCCCTAAACTTTCTTTTTGGAACTTAGTTCATCCTTTAACTTCAGAAAGGACTCAAATCGTCCTTAAACTTTATTTTTCCAAAACTCAAACGGTCCTTCCGTCACGAAATTGCTTACCTGTCACGTTAAGTCTCCACCAATTAAAAGAAAATCCATCACTTTGCTACATCCGATGACTTCAAACCTACAGTGTTTTAAAGGAAATCCATCACTTTCTCGATCTTCTTTTTCTGAGGTAAGCATGAAAACTGGTTGCAGTACAAATGCATATTGAAATTGCTCCTCCAACCAACCATAGCTCATCAAAAGCTCCTCCTTTTTTTCCCAAGTTTCCTTGCTCATAGCTGTCTTTAGACGAAGAGCATAAATAAAGGACTTTTTTGCTGGTTCCAAGCCCATTGCTTTAACTTCAAGAACCATCTCTTTGAAGAAATCAACTTTACATGCAAATGCCTGAGGGTGCCACACTAGTAGTGTCTGAATATGGCCTTCTGGCACACCTTGTGCACACAATGTGGATATATTAGGAACCATAGCCTTATCAGGATTACACCAAAAAATACTCTATGTACAGACACTTTTCAAAGAACACACAATATTCTCACCTGTCCCAAAATTCCCTTTAACGAAATCAACAAAAGGTATTATTTGCTTCTTCAAACTACTCTTGAGAATACGTTCTTTTGAACAGAGAACCTTAGTCAGGCTTTCTCCCACAATGCCCAAAGACTCAAAAAACTCAATCTTGGGCCTAAGAGTTTTCTTCGGGTTAGCCATCAAACAACGTGGGTGCTTAGAGATCAAAGTAGCAATGTCAAATTTAGTGAAACCATAACTTTTTAGAAGCCTAAGAACTGAATCTGATCCTTTGGTGTTCTTAAGGTTAATCCACTTAGAAGCTGAAATAGTTTTATCCAATGAAAACCCACATGAGTCAGTGAGGAAAGAAATGGTTAGGGATTGTTGTTGGTGTGGTGATTTAGGAGAAGGAATCGTCTTCGTCCTATTGTACCGCACATAACTAGCTTTCAGATCCACCTTCCGATACTAAGAAAATGCTTTGTGGAAAAAACCAAACATCTTTTCATATAAAATAGACGGATGAGTAATGGGCAAAAAACAGATATAAATAAGCCATGCTTCCACTCTCAAATGAACCTGCACCCAAACTCCGTGCACTAGTTTCCATGGTTTGATTCTCACAAACCCAAAATCTAAAAAACAAATAGCAAAGGATTTAGGGTTCAAGGGAAGAAGAATGAATAACAAATGTAGATGATTTGGCGTTCGAAAAAGAAGGAATCACAATGGGTAGAGGATTTAGGGTTCGAAGAATAAGGAATCAAAAGTTGCAGAGGATTTAGGGGGTCGAAGAAGAAGGAATCAAGGGTTTGGAGAAGAAAGAATCAAGAGTTGTAGAGGATTGAGGGGTCGAAGAAGAAGGAATCAAGGGTTCGGAGATTGATCTGAAAGCATCGTCAATTGCTTTCTCGTTTTCTGGAAAGGGGTTTCGAAGAAGAAAGGGGAAAGGGAAAGTGAGAGTGAATCTAGAAGGAGGTCTGTTCTGCATCAACAAACGGAGACAATGTGGCCCATCTTTTATTGTTTTATTTTATTTAGAAAGGTGGAGATTGCCATGTCACCAATTGGGTGAGGTGTATTGTCCACATAAGCTTGTAAAAATTGAAAGAGTAATTGGTGGAGACCTAACGTGCCAAGTAAGCAGTTCCGTGACGGAAGGATCATTTGAGTTCTGGAAAAATAAAGTTTAAGGACGATTTGGGTCCCTTCTGAAGTTAAAGGATGAACTAAGTTCCAAAAAGAAAGTTTAGGGACCAAATTGGGTATTAAACCTTTTTATTTCTTGGGTATATAATATATAAATACCCAAGAAACAACGGCGGGGAAGTCTCTGGGAGTCTCCGTCTGGGTTTTGAAAGCAGTAGAGGGGAGAGAAACAACAGCAGACC